CTAAAACTGTCTGCAGAACTTTTGAAAAGCCATCCTGGTGTTTGCTTTCAAAACATCTGCTTGAAAACAACCAACGTCTTTGAACACTTCCAAGATCTTCTTTCTACGGAGCTTGGGTCAAATTAATAAGTGAAAGCAATCACCTGCAATTACAAAGCTGCAAAAAATTACCATGCAGCCCGTGCCCTTTAGCTTTACAAGGCAGTTAGTGTCTTATAAGCTGTGGTTTCAGTTTTATAGCTGCGGCGGTTTGTGTTCGGCCTCACAGCTCTCATTAAGCTGGTTTCCAGTGTCAACAGGCACCTTTTTCAGCAGAAAACTCTGATCAACCTAGAGCGTGTCACCTCTCCAGCTCCAAACAGTTGTCACATAAAGTTTGCACCTCGCTTGTAAAAATAGTGTCACATTAGCAGCTAAAGATAAAGTTTTAATATTCATATATTCATCATATTTTATCCCTTTTGACTATAAAAGGAAACAAAAAAGTTTCCCAATGCTACCTTGAGCTAGAATATTTAATAAAACTATTACTTCTGGATTATGTGCAGTGCAAGGTTACAAAGGTCATCTATAAACCATGAGCCCTGAGCCAAAATAATCACCACTACAGTTTCGTAGAGAAGGAAAAGAAGAGGATATTTCCTCATTAGCTCTGGTCTTGAGACAGCTGAAGGACTTAAGTTAGTGATTTATTGAAGTTGTTGTGTTGGGGAACCTTGTTGTGACCCTTTCTACCACTGAGAGTGGGAGTGATGAAGTGAGCATTATGACAGAGTTCAACCAGAAGTCACTCATCGCTGAAGAAAGTAGACATCAGCTTTCAGCTGCAAAATAACGGATACAAAAGATTTAACAACTGCACATTACTACATTACATTGGTATTACTTCTGTCTAATCAACTCCAACCGAGGCATAACTAAGTCACTGTACTCCATTATCAATAAAATTCACCGGCCATCTGATACTCTGCCCCCACATGTGCTCTACTGCTACTTGTAATGCCCGTCTTCTGTTCAACGAAAAAATAATAAACATTCACCGTGCAATCACCCAAAGCATCCCCCCTACCTCCCCATATGATCCTCCCAAACCAACACAGTTATTTTCCATTTTCCAACTTCCCAGTGATTCTGAGATATCAGATATTATCCACAAGTCAAAGCCTTCTACCTGCCTTCTCGACCCCCTTCCCACGGCCTTGGTTAAATCCTGCCTCCCCTCCCTGCTCCCTCTCATCTCCGCTCTCATACCTTTCCTCCAGTATCGTTCCCTCTATCTTCAAAACTGCTGCAGTTACTCCAATACTTAAAAAACCTGGTTCGGATCCTAACATTTTAACTAATCTCCGCCCCATCTACAACCTACCCTTTGTCTCCAAAGTTTTAGAAAAAATAGTCGCTACCCAGCTCCACACCCATCTGACACTGAACTCCTTCTATGAACCCTTCCTGTCCGGTTTCCGCCCACTTCACAGCACAGAAGCAGCCCTCCTCAAAATAACTAACGATCTCCTCATTGCTGATGATTCCGGTCTACTATCCATCCTGGTCCTCCTTGATCTGAGTGCGGCCTTTGACACAATATCTCATTCCATTCTCCTCCATAGGTTATCTTCCATCGGCATTGCTAACATCCCACTTCAGTGGTTTCAGTCCTACCTATCAGGTCGCACTCAGTTCATTACTATCAAATCCTCCCACTCACAGCCCTCGTCTGTCTCTTCTGGTGTGCCCCAGGGCTCTGTCCTGGGGCCCCTCCTTTTCATTATATACATCCTTCCCCTTGGCAATACCTTCCGCAGATTCAATATTCATTTTCACTGCTTCGCGGATGACACCCGGCTCTATCTGTCCAGTAAGCCAAATTCTGCACTTCCTCCCTCCTCCATCATCACATGCCTTCAAGGAATAAAATCATTGTTCAGTTCGAACTTCCTGAAATTAAATACAGACAAAACAGAACTTCTTTTGGTTGGTACCAAGAACACCCTCTCAAAATTTGACAGTTTCTCTCTCACAGTTGATAATACTTCAGTTTCCCCCTCTCCCCAGGTAAAGAGTCTGGGTGTCATCCTAGACAGCACATTATCCTTCCAATCTCATATCAATAGCATCACACGGTCAGCTTATTTCCATCTTCGTAACATTAATTGTCTTCGCCCCTCCCTTGATGTCCACTCTACTTCTATTCTTGTCCAAAGTTTGGTTACATCACGTATCGATTATTGCAATTCTCTTCTCTCAGGCCTCCCTCAGAAAACCCTCCGTAAGCTCCAGTTGGTTCAGAATGCAGCAGCACGCATCATTACTAAAACTCCCATCTCTCATCACATCACCCCCATCCTCAAACAACTCCATTGGCTACCAGTGCACACCAGAATTAACTACAAGATTCTCCTTCTCACCTTCAAGGCCATCCATAACCTCGCCCCTCACTACCTCACAGATCTCGTTCACATCGTCACCTCGTCCCGTTCCCTCAGGTCCTCCTCCTCCATTCATCTCTCTGTGCCCTCCTTTCGTCTCAGCACCATGGGGAGTAGAGCCTTCACCTGTACCGCTCCCAAACTCTGGAACTCCCTTCCCCCTCTCATCAAGAACATTAACTCATTCACAGAATTCAAAAAACAACTCAAAACTCACCTCTTCATAACCACATATCAGCTTTGAATTTTAGAGTGTCTTGTTTGTTCATGTTTACGTATGTTTACTTACTGAATGATTTGTGTTTTTATTCTGTACAGTGTGCTTGAGTGACCAGAAAGGCACTTTTAAATAAAATGTATTATTATCATTACATATATCTGTAAATATATAAATAAATATTGATGCAATTTTGAATTCTAAGAACAAATCATTTGGAGCTATGGTCTTTAACTTCAAATGCTACATCAAATCCTCTTGATCTGCACAATTTTATGTTGTTTTAAGATCCGCTCCACCTTTGTTCTATTTGACTAAGTTTTAGTTTTTGTGGAGCTTGTTGTCACAGCTCCGTTGGCAGACTTGTAATTTAGAATACCGGGATTAAAAAGTGACCCTTACATCTTTTTTCACACTGGAATCATCAGTGGCACGGAATGGCACTGCTTCAAATAGAATCCATTATAGTCTATGGGGATGTGTGAAACTAGCCACGATGCACAAATGTTCAGGCGCGTCCTGGAAGCAGCTCACCGTGCCACGCCACTAAAGATAGGATTGGGTTCTTTTTTACAGCGAGCCGCTTCTGGGACATGTCAATTTTTGCAGCAATAATGAGGCTAGACAGGAAATCACATAAGTTTTCAGTGTGAAACCCCTGTTAATTTTCAAAATAAAAGACTATTACAGCGATGCAATTTCATATCTATGTAGACTGCATCAATACGTGTGACCTCACAGCTCATTAGTGCAACTGTGTGTTTCTCAGGTCTTTAATCCTGGCAGTGGAGAGGAACAAAATCATATGACATCAAGCAGTGATATGAAATGTGATTCCTTCCATTTGATTTAATGGAGGTTGACATAAACAAACCGTGACCTTTGAAGATTTTGTGATCTTGCGAGTCCAGCGAGGGAGCCGTTTAGCAACCGAGACTCTCCCAGTGTGTACTGGACTGCATTTAAGCTCCGCTCCCCTAATGCTTCCATTGTAGGAGTTAAAGGGTAAGCAGGCCAGAAGGTGATTAAATGACACAGGTATTCCAGTCACCAATTTCTTATCAGAACATCCTGGTTCCACAACATCGGGCATCAAACTTACACCTGAGACAGCAGTTTTTTACTCGTTCTGCACATCAGCAGGGAAAAAGAAACATGTAACCATCAAATTCAAGAGCAAGTAACGAGTCTACCGAGGCATCGGGTAAGCTGGTTGACAAATTGTGACTTGTGTCAATGTTACCCAAATAGACATACTTTTGGTTTGAGATACATTCAACAAAAGCCTTTAAAAGTCTTGTTTGATGTCATTTTCTCCAGAAACACAAATGTTCTTCTGCAATCGTCTCCGCTTTTTAAAAAAAAAATACATTTGTAATTTTTTACTACTCTGGGACATAAATTGGTGTTCGAGACCCTCAGAAATACACTCACCTTATTTTATTTTTTAGGTCAAATATTCCACCCTGCAGGTTGCACGCGTCAAAATTGTACTCTGGGGTAAAACATGCACTTTTGTGCAACACCAGAAAACAACAGCATGCAAAACGAAGTTTGTTGAGAAAAAAGACAAATAAAGAAGGGCAGTTCTTAATGATGTTGTGCACACAACTGTGGTTGGTTAAATCAGGTCCTTTTAGATATTCATCACATTCAGCTGCTGATACAGAATCGTCTGAATGTTGCAAATGATTTAGTCATAATGATCCTTTCACCCAAGCAAACCAGAGGCGGAATTTCTTCACAGTTAAGGCCTGAATTAAATTATATTGTTAGTTAATACAGCTTTCAGAAAGCTAGCAAAAGTTATTCCTTCATTTGTTCTTTTGAAAGTTTGAAAAGTTCCTTAAGTTAAAACTGTATTTGTCATTCTCACATGCAGCTTTAGTGACAAAGGACTGAAAATGTTTAATTTTTAAATGCTGTCACTGTTAAACCTTCACACATCAGTACATATAATTTGACATGATGCATATTTTTGGTCCACCTGGCCTGGTATAAATGATAGACACTCAATTTCTATTTAAGTCATGAGCCAGTTTTGTTAATTGAAGCTATTTTGCTCAGTAAAACAGCGTATGAGTGTATTTGTCAAATTGTCCGTAAATCAGTTTGAGGCAAAGCAACTCTATTATTATTGCACATACTCATTTAGCAGCAAAGAAAACCTCTTTATATACCTTAAAGCCCTTCTATTTGTTGAATTATCCATCCTCCCTCCCCTCCTCTACCCATTAACCTTTTCTTTTACCACAGTCCTACCTTGATCTGTTCCTCTTTCTGTTCGTTTGCCTGATGTTGGTCAGCTGAGCCCTGGTGTCTCTGAAAGGAAGCCTCCTGTCATTTGTCTTTTTCAGGCATAAGAACTTTGCCCGAGGCATTGAGCGCCAGCTCCCAGATGGGATGGTGGTGGCATCAGTGCCAACGGAGGTCCAGTGCCACGAGGAGCTGTCAGACCCTGTGCCCGACCCAGAATACCTCACGGGTATGAAAACATATTTCATAGTTTGCCTTCTTGGCTCACTTCTGTACCACAGTGTTTCATCACTTGCTTGTCTGAATTCTTACATTTGAAAAGAGATAAAACTCGGATCTTGAGAGAAAACTCGGATCTTGATAACCAGAGTGGTATGTTTGTACAATCACTGTGACATTTAGGTTGTCATTTACAATCAGGCATAGCAAACGAGTGGTGAAAACATTGACCGTAAACCATTGGGTACGGTGTGTTTTCTGGGGTTTTTGTCAGTTATGCAGCTCTGTTAGATAATCCATGTTGATTAGCTAACCTGCATCATTTGTATTTTAGGCCAGAAACTATTTGCTCCCAATACCCATCTCAGGCTTTACATTCAAATGTAGATTCTCATTCATTCGACACATGGCAATCCTAAAGGTTGAAAAGGACAAAGGGGCTTCTTCTCTATGAGAAAGTCCAACTTTCATTTAACCTTCCCACTGTCCTAATGGGTGACCCCACGAGGAAAGTTGACCATTGAGCAGGATTGATGGTTTATCCCTTGAGGTCCACGTGGCAGGGGTGAGGTGGTGCTTACTCCTCACCCCTGCCACGTGGACCTCAAGGGATGAACCATCAACCCTGCTCAATGGTCAACTTTCCTCGTGGGGTCACCCATTAGGACAGTGGGAAGGTTAAAGGTTTTCTTCAGTTCTGATCAGCTAAAAAGTGTCAACCTTATATCTCTATAGGGTCAATAAAGAAGCAAAATGCAAGTATTCAACTGTGAAATAATCAGAAAACAGTCTAGCGTCGCAATCATGTTGGAAAGAAGTTTACACTGAAACAGATTTCCTTCTCAGCCCCCGCCTTTACAGCAATGCTCATACTAAGCAAGCATGTAGCGAAAGTGGAGAGGAAAACTCCCTTTTAACAGGAAGAAACCTCCAGAAGATCCTGGCTCAGTTTAAGCAGCCACAGTGTTGCCAGATCCAAAATCCCACAATATCGTACAGAGAGGCCTAAATTATCGTTTGTCAGTACAAATTATCGTACATTATGAATTTGATAATAACGTTCTATAAACGACTTCTCACTCCAATATAATATAACAATGAAGGTGTTTTATATTGCCCTGTTTAAATAAACATCTTTAAAACCAGTAATATAATGCTTATAAACGTGCAGAGTGTGTCGGCACCACTCCGACCTCCACGCATTGACACAATATGCACATTTGCGCAGTCCTATTTATGTCATTTCCACATAGATTAAACGCACGCGACAAAACATCACAGCAGTGGAAAAACTGACCCAATAAATGACAAAGAAGCCTACTCACCTAGTTGCTGATCTCGTTCTCCTCATCTGATTCACTGTCTGTCGCAGCAGAATGCCTTTAATCACCTGTACTAAGTGGTCTGTGCTTCTCATTGCAATGTTGTGCTCGGCTAAAAAGCCACATAGCTTGATTTCAGCATTTTTCACATCATTTTCAAACTTCTCTTTTTCATTAGTTTGCTGGAGACATTTAAGTATAGATGTCTGGTTTGGCGCAATGCATTTTACCCTTTCTTTGTGTTTAGCTCCCTTTGCATTCTAGAGAACGGAGATTTCTGATACCATCTGGATGTTGCAGCAACGACAGAAAGCCTTGGTTTCGTTCCCCGTAACAGGTGCAAGCCATCCTTTGAAAATAGGGTCCAACTCCCACGCAGGACGATAAGCTTGTGTCCGGTGTTGCTTTGCTTTACCTTCATCCGTCCCTTCTCTGGTTTTTCTTTTAAGATTAGAAGCCATTGTCTCATCGCTCTGTTCTCCTAGCTTAGACTTAACTCGGCGCGCTCGTGGGCAAACAGCAAGAACTGGCGGGCCACTGCCACATTATATAACCTTACAGTTTCCCGCGAGAGTAGGCCCTATCGATGTGATTGGGCTATTTATTGTACAGATCCAGAGTCAGTTTTTGTAATAGACACAATAGCATAAACCTGTAAGCACTGAGGTGAAATCTGACTTCACAACAGTTTAAAATTATGTAATTGACTTGGGAATGCCACAGCAAAAGACGGTGTTACTAGATGCAATGGGAAATTATCGTACATTTGAGGATTTTTGAAACTATTAATTGTACATCGTACAGAGCCCAAAATTATGGTACAAATACGATAATTATCGTACATCTGGCAACGCTGAGCAGCCATCCTCCACGACTCACTGGGGATCGAGAAGACAGAGCACGCACACACACGCACGCGCACGCACGCACGCACACACACACGCACGCACACACACACACACACACACACACACACACGCACACACACACACACACACACACCAAGCATTGTGACTATGGTTACTAAGTAAAACCTTTGTCTTGGTATTTACTACAATGAAGGGTTTAAACGTAATAACTGTAATTCTGCATATTTCTGTGAAGTGCTTCATTCAGACGGGCTGGTGCGGTTGCTGCAGACTCTTCATCAGTGGCTCTAAATCACCTCAGTAGAAAGCCCTGGATGGCAGGGCATGATTTGTTACCTGTTTTTAAAATAACAGCAGATACACAAGGCCAGTCCAAAACCGCATCATTTGATGTTGCTTGAAGTATGATGGACAATCAAATGTGATTGTGGAGCGCTGGCTCAAACTACTTTTCTTGGGTAACTTTAGAGTATATTAAAACCGTCTAATCTAAATGGATCTTCTGCTGTTATATCCCTGAGGCTCGGTCTCCTCATCCGTCCCCATTTCCACACTCTGGGTCCCTGATCTGCCTGCACAGTCAACCCTTTTTATCCTTCCGTTGCTGCTGGGTTTGCATCTCACCCAGCCCAGCACAGCAGCATGTCCCTTTCCAGTGACTCTGCTGGGCTTTGGCTGCAGCAGCTGTTGGTCTTACTGAACAGTAATGTCATGAATTGAGATATAGTTTTAGTATGTCCTGCAGTGCCACACAGCAGCATGCATCATGATGTTTTCTGCTTTCCTCCCTGCTGCGGATAAAAGCAAAGTGATGCCAGGGAGAGTCATGGGGAGGATGAGTGGTGGTCTGAAAAATGGGGCAACAAAAGAAGGGAAAGGTCATCATTGGTGGAGAGATCCTGGGGTCAAATATAGACTTTATGTCACATTAACAGCCTACTTTCTTCAAAGAAACTAACTTTACTCAGCAACAACTTTTCAGTGACTCTAAATCTTTTAAAGGCATCTATGAGTGCTCTTGTAACTCAGTTGGAATCCTACACATACACTGCCCAGCCCAAATAAATGTATGTGGATAATTACTGCATGGGTAATTATCTTTCAGCTGGCAACAAGTAATTTAACTCCAACCGGTGCAATGAGCTGCTTCCCATTTCTTAAACAACCATGTGGAAAGACACATCTGGTGGTCGTGGAAAAGATGTTAGTCTGTTTGGGAAGGGTCAGATCATTGGCATGCATCAAGCAGAGAAAACATCTAAGGAGAATGCAGAAACGAGTATAACTGGGTTAAGAACTGGCCGACGCATTATTAAAACTGGTCTGATGAGTTCAGATGGACCCTGTTCCAGAGTGATGGTGCATCAGGGTAAGAAGAGAGGCAGATGAAGTGATGCACCCATCATGCTGCGTGCCTACTTTACAAGCCTGTGGGGGCAGTATTATGATCTGGGGCTGCTGCAGTTGGTCAGGTCCAGGTTCAGCAACAGGAGGGGCTCCAAAGATGAGGTCAGCCAACTCCGTGAATATACTGAATGACCAGGTTATTCCATCTTCCCTGATGGCACGGGCATATTCCAAGATGACAATGCCAGGATCCATAGGACTCAAATAGAGAAAGAGTGGTTCAGGGAGCATGAGACACCATTTTCACACATGGATTGGCCACCACAGAGTCTAGACCTTAAACCCATTGAGAATCTTTGGGATGTGCTGGAGAAGGCTTTCTGCAACAGTCAGTCTCTACCATGATCAATGCAAGATCTAGGTGACACATTAATGCAACACTGGATGGAAATAAACCTTGTGACATTGCAGAAGCTTATTGAAGCAATGTCACAATGAATGTGTGCTGTAATCAATGCTAAAGGCGGTCCAATGAAACATTAGAGTGTGACTTTTTTTGGAGTGTGGCAACTTCTTATGTAGGCCAGGTAGTGCGTAAAGAACACATTTCCTAAATCTAAAATATTGGTTTTCTAGATCAGGGGTGTCAAACTCAAACTCACACGGGGCCGAAATGAAACTCTGGGACGGAGTCGAGGGCCAAACTTAATATTTTTGAAAAAGTGACAGCAAATTTGCACGTTTTCTTTATCAACATATATGCAATTTTGAACCTTTAAATTTGGAAACAAACTTATTTCTGCATTAACACTGAATGTGGAATAACCAAATTACACACAAGCAAGTCCGTTTTAAATAAAAAGCATCAGTGGTATTCATTACTTGTGGTATATTCAGCATTTTTAAAATCTATTCAGGATTTATGTTTTCTTGTTTATTCATTTTTCTTATTTTTTATTCTCATTTTTTCTCCTGTAATACGTGTCATCGCTGCTGTGACGTCTAGCTTTCCCCACTGAGGAACAATAAAGGGATTTTCTATTCTATTCATCTATCTGCAGCCTTTCCACTTCCTGTTTACTGTAGGTTAAATCTTTTCTCATGGGCCAACAACAAAATAAAAATATCATTTTATCTTAAATGAAAATGCAACATCTCACCTGTTAACTTTCATGTTTTGGAGCAGAAAAAGAGCATAAAACCAACATATTTAAAGCTCAGTTTGCTCCACTGGTTTACTGTGATGCTCACCTGTTCCAGCCAGATACCTGCATCATGGGGTTGACCTGATCTGAGGAGGAGACTCCTGTTGTTTTGTTCATCTTCATCATAATAATGACAACATTAGATGACAACAGGTGCTCACATAGGTTTGTGCTGATGAACATGTCTGAGCAGCTTGACCACGTTGTTGTGTGTCGGGGAGGAAACACAACCACAGAGTTGTGCTGGTTTGAGCGTGTCGCTGCTCG